CAAGACACAGTAGTTGATTCTACAATAGAGGCTAAATACATTGCAGCCAGTGAAGCAGCAAAAGAGGTTGTTTGGATCAAGAAGTTCATATCGGAATTAAGGGTTGTTCCGAGCATATCAGATGCTGTAGAACTCCGTTGTGACAATAATGGAGCCATTGCACAAGCAAAGGAACCCAGATCTCATCAACGATCCAAACATATTCTTAGGCACTTTTATCTCATTCGAGAGATCATTGATCTAGGAGATGTGGAAATATGTAGAGTACACACGGATGACAACATTATTGATCCCTTGACGAAACCTCTTACACAGCAGAGGCATGATCGTCACACTGAGTCAATCGGTATTAGATATGTGAGTGATTGATCTTAGTGCTAGTGAGAGATTGTTAAAATATGTCCAAAGACCAATCATATGATGATAGTAATAATACTTTTATTTACCGATTTTATTGAATAAAGGCATTGCCGCTATTATTTTCATTTATATATGCATGTGTTTAACATAAACTAGAAGATAATAAAATCCATATAATGACATGATTGTTATTATTAAAAGATCCCTAGTCAAGTATTATTATGGGCATGGATAATAATAATACGCTTAAGACGAACATGTTATTGATTGATGGCAACGAGTTGTCATTGACATACAGATGTCAGAATTGATACATGATTATATTGTTAGAGAACAATGTATTGGATTGACCGACCATGAGCATATGTCTTGAATTATTATGCGACAGTCATAACATTGCTCATGGTGATGACTATATATATGATCCTTAGACTTGAGATCAATACTATCCCAACATATATTATTGTATGTTTTGATGCATCTAAACAAGCTCCATAACTGGTTGCTCTATAAAGACTGTTATTGAATATATCTCAATATATGTAGTGGGTGTGTATGATTAAGATAGGATTTGTCCTTCCTACATAATAGGAAATATATCACGGGCCACTTGATTGAGTAAGACTAGAAACGCATGGCCATGCTTGAATAAGTTGATATAAGATATCATAAACTATTTGTTAATTACAGTATACTCTAGATATCAAGAAACAATAGATGGGCTATACAAGTGTAACTATTCCAAGACTTGTGCCTATTCTAGATATAAAGGACATAAGGATGTAATACATAAAAGAGTTAATCACCAAGATGATATGTCAAATCATATTTTCTTGTAACTTATGTGACAATGATATATTGCTAGATGTCACTCATTGTATGTAAAATTAGAATTGTTCTAATAATTACGGCTAACATTACAAGAACCTACAAGGTCACACCCTAGGATTGAAACGAGCAAATATATACAATTTGTTGTATGTTACTAAAACATATATCTATAGTTAATTAAATATATGTTTTTAATAATCCTGAATATTTAATTTCAATTAATTAAATATAGATTTAATTAATTTTAAATAATAAAATCCCTAATATGATTAGGGTAACTTGGATATAAAAGGATTATTAAATTCTAATTAATTAAATATAGATTTAATTAATTTGAAATAATAAACCCTAATATGATTAGGGTAACTTGGCTATAAAAGGGTGTGTTAGGTCTAGCAGCCGTTTTAGAACACACACACAAAACCTTCAGTCTTTTTTCTCTCAAAACTATTTTGGGGAAGAAAAATATTGCTCTCAATCGGGTGAACTGAGTAGAGGCCGAGACATGATTTCGTGAAGGCTTACGATTCAAACCGATCTACACCACCAGTATTCACTGTTGTCCTTGTTGTTTTTCAAGGAACCTGCTGTAAGTATTCACATCTCTTCATCCCGATTTCAGTTTTTCGTTCTTGGATCGCTGTTGAGACCGTCGAGTCTTGTTTTCACTGCGCCATGGGGTGTGCCGACGGTCCCAACAGCTAGCATCATGACCATTTGGCCTAGACTACATCAAATCATCATACACCTTTATTTTGGCTTCTAAAGCATCAATGAACATGTCCATTAATCCTTGTAAATTCATATGCACTTAGGGAAGTACATAAGTATTCAAAAGCCTCCAAAACTGAACCGACACCTTATTTTTCATCCAAGGGCATGTGCATTCATCAATTAGGTAGAACCAACTCCTATCTATTCCTCTAAAAGCATGCACTTTCATTAAAAGCCATGTATCTTCCTTTAAACCATATATATTTGAAGGGCTACATTCTTATTGATTGAGTGTAAATATATAGTGTTGTGGCATGCAAATCTAAACAAGTATACACAATCGATGCAAGTAATACAATAGTGAGTGGGTTTCTTCTCCATAAGGATTGAAGGTGTTTTAAAAACTAGATATTATAATTAAAAGTTGTCATGAAATAAACCTAAGTATATATGTACGATGGTATAAACAAATGAAGATAGAGTTGTGGCATATGGTATATATAAATGGTGATGGAATGCTGTAGGAAGAATGAAGTGAAGTGGAGTAGAGTTGTTGTGGTGAAAGTTGTTGGAAATGTAAAAGTGTTTTGAGGCAACAAATTAAGCAAAGTGCAAAAGTATGCTAAAGCAATAAAATAAATTGAACCATCAAAAACGAGATTAGACTTGAAAACCTCACACAATCAAGCTTCTATGGAGGAAAATGACATGTATTTACCATCGTGATAATATTCTATGCTATGTATGATCTCTGCTCCTATGAGTATGCCACCCGACAGGAATTTCTAAAAATGCTCCTAAACTCCCTTAGGCAAGGAACCTGATAAAACTAATGCTACGGTAATACCTCTCAGCATGAACTGTAACACTAGCCTATCGACTAAGTCCTATTCCTTTTAGTTTAATGAAACCCTCTCCTTATCTTTAAGGAGGATTAGAACCTCCCCATCCTGGTTTGGCTCCCTTGCTCACGTAGATCTAACCTAGCTCTCTCGATACTAGGTATCTATACTTAGAAAATGACAATCTCTCATAAGCTCTTACAAAACTAAGCATATTACGCTACAACAAATGACAATCTCTCAAAAACACATACAATGCTACAGCGTATAAAGTTAAAAAACAATGAGAAAAACAACATTTAAAACATAAAAACATCCATTCATCAATTAACACAAAATAAAATCATCCAACAATAACTAAGTAAGTTCATGGTGTGGCTAAGTTCATCCCAGAATATGAAAGTTTAGTACAAGCCCAAATAAGATGGAAAAATAAAGCACAAGGGGAAGAATACTCCCAAAATGAGTTGTTGTCGTGACTTGGCTCAACCACCATGCACCGCCTTAGCCAGCTAGCCTCCCTTGAGGTCTAGTTGCTACCTCCCTTGAAGCTTAACTATGGAGGACACCATGAAAAGGGGTTGAAAAATGAAGAAGAAGATGGAATTGAGTAACCACTTTTAGAAAAAATCTCTTTTATTTTTCTGTTTTTGATGTTAATAAAATTTCTCTTCTTTTGCTCATAGTTTTTTCAAAATAATTTTCCACATAAAATATTGATGTTTATTATATTGTGTGATTATTATATTTATTATTATCTTTTAACAAATTGATGTCGAAACATCCAATTTTTTGTTTTGATCACAATAATGACGACTTTGAAGTATGAAATAATACTATTGTATCGTAATACTATATTCACATTATGACATGTGAAGATGCATGCGATTCTAGTATAGATAGATTTGAAAGATGCCATGTTAGGGTTAGATAACATACATTCAATATCGACACTTGAAGAAAAACAATTATAAGACTTAAATGCACCATTGTCCCTTGAAATATACACTTTGTATCGAGTTGCCTCTTAACGAAATTAATGAATTCTTATATATTAATTTTACAATTGTATAAATAAATTCTTGTATATTAAAAATTTAAAAAAAATTGAATCAAAATGGATGACCAAATAGAACAAAAGCGTAAGTATAGTGATGATTTTGAAAAAAAATTGGGAGAACAAAAGAGAATCGCATGAATAGTTGAGTGACTATCCATACTTTTTAAATAGGGCTAGCAGTTTAGGAAAAAAGAAGTAACAATTAAACTTTTAAAAACAAAATACCCCAAAAAATACTCTAAGGATAATTCAATAAAAATACATAATTTAAGAGATAATGGTTCATTTATGACTTAAGCTTATATCACTACAGAAAAATAATTTTTAGTAAAAACAACTTTATAAACTAATATATGGCGGACTTTTTTTTAAAAAAAAGCCGCTATAGAAGTATATTTTAGTGGTATTTTTCTAACAAATGCGGTAATAAGATCCACATATAATGTAGTTTTGATATAAATACCGCAATTATTCAGTACTTTAGTAGCGTTTATTATAACAAACTCCATAATTGTTAAGTTCCAAAAATCTTTATCCCTTTTTCATTTCTTCTTCTCGTACCCATTTTACTCAAAGTTTTATCTCCCTTTTACGAATATTTTGACACCTTTGTAGCTTTCACTGCCACGCCCATCAAAATCTCCACACTGTTCTGAGTCAGCCCAACCATCCTCAACATCAGCACTGTCTTCATTTGGGGTATTCAAGGAGAAAAACATGACCTCCTTTTATATTTCTCTTCCGTCTCCATCGAGGTAAATATTTAAATCTTTTTTTTTTGCTTCTTCGAGGTTTTCCTTTGCTTCATATTTTCTTCTCTCGTCTCTACTTTGTTATTGTCACTATAGCAAAATGGGTTTATAGCGGCATTTTTAGCATCGTTTTTAGAACAAACGCCACTAAAGACTGTACTTTAGTGGCGTTTTTATACAAACGTCGCTAAAGACTATACTTTAGTTGCATTTTTAAAACACCGCTATAGATTCATACTTTAGTGGCGTTTTCAAAACAAACACCGCTACTAGTACTTTAGTGACGTTTTTATACAAACGACTTTAGTGCTAAAGACTCGTTTTGTGTTTACAAATGCCGCAATTTGACAATTTTTAAATACCACACCCCTTAACCCTTTTTCCATTTTTTACTCTAGAAAATTTAGGTTTCTGCCTTTCCTTTTCTTGCACTCTTTTTAAATCATTTCGTGACCCTAATTTCGTTCTTAGTTTATTTAATTTCACGGGGCTTCGATATGTTCAGTTTAAACTTTGGAGGAAAATCGACCGGTTCTTTCAGTGGTATTGTTTCTTGTTATTGCTAGGGCTTCTCCTTTTTCTAATCGACCGGTTCTCCTTTTTCTCTTGATCTGCATCTTCCTCTGCTTTTTTTTAATAAGATTTGACTTCAAGTTTGTTTCGAAATCGTGTCAAATCTTTTGAATTTTGAATTCTTCGCGTGGTGTTAATCTGATCTAAATCTTTGAATCCTCGTGAGTTTCGTTGGTTTCCACATATTTGTATTTCTCGAATTGAATTTATGTTCGTTACAGATTTGATTTAGATTTTTATGTGTTGATATGGTGAATTCTGGCCTGTTTTGGTCTTGCTGTTGGATCTGCTTTGATATTGAATAATACAATTTGTTTTTCATTTTCAAATTAAATTGATGATTTTGAAATTTGGTGTTTTGGTAGACTTGAAGAATGGGGCGGCCGAGTATCTGTCGCAAAGCTATTCAGGCGGCTTTTTGCCAAGAAGGAGATGCGTATATTGATGGTTGGGCTTGGTGCTGCCTGTAAAAGCACCATTCTTTACAAGCTCAAGCTGGGATCTTATAAAAAATATGAATATCCTGCTATTTCAGGGTGCTATAAATCTCCTGATGCAAGTATATAGAAAGGAATTTGCTTCTATAGGTGGTTATCTTACTGATGCGGGCGAGGTAAATTTTCCATTTTCCTATGCATCTACCAAGTCTTTAGTAGATCCTGGGAGAATGTAATTTGTTGCTCGAGATTAGGGAGCATTGTTATTTTTAATTTCTTTCACAATTAGAAGTTAGGCAGAAATTAGGGGAACCAGGATACAAAGAAAGATATTAAGCTGAGAAATTCAATGTATCAAACGAAGGGGAGATTGAAGAAGTTAAAAGAGATGTCGTAAGTTTAAACATTCTATTTATGAAGTTTCTTGCTACAATATCACATGTATATAATAATGTTATCCTGTAGATGTGTAATAGCAGCCTCAATTTCTTGCAGGTTTTGAAGTATGTTGAAGGTTTATGTTGGATATGCTGCTATTACTACCAAGGTGTTTGCTCTTGGCAATGGTTAGTTTGATGTGAACTGGAGATGAAAATGTTATAGTTGCTTTTTTCTGGATATTTTTCATTTTGATAAACTAAATGGATTAAGAATTAAGATTAAATGCTAATATGATCATATATATATATGCTAGTGGAGTCCTATTCCCTCTAATGCTTGCCCTTTTATATCTTTTTGATTTATGCTATCTGATACTTCTGCTTGGTAGCTTAAACTGGGATTCTGTAGCATATACATCCATACATATGTTGCAAGATGTGATGACTTGAGATTTTCTTGATGTGACCTAGCAAGTAGTTTAATACATGCTAGATGTCTTCGTGTTTTTCTCCCTTTTTATTTAGTTTAAAGTTTGGTCTTGACTTTGTTTTAGGTTTTATCCATATCATTTTGCACCATTTGCTTCAGATCTTAAGGATCTGACTGACTTGGAAATAACATTTTTCATGGGAGAACCATTTAAGCCATTTGACCAGCTCATGGGAACTCTGCCAGCTGCCAGGTTTTCTTCTTTTCAATTGTTGTTGTTGGGTTTTTTTTTAAAAAAAATTATATGGTGTGTGTATAGCCTTCTAATGCTTCTGCATTTATCTTCAAATATATCTTCTCTGTGGTTATAGTCTATAGTTGCCTATGCTAATAGGAATTTATTTCATGTTATAGTTGATAATATTATAATCTCGTAGGATTCAATGTTGAAACCGTGGAATACAAGAACATCAGCTTTACTGTATGGGATGTTGGTGGCCAAGACAAGGTAACTGGTTTTAGTTTTTTTTCCAAATATATTACCATGAACCGTAAATATTGCATGAAAGGGAAAATTTGCACATATTTTCTTTTTATTACTTTAGTTGGTTCAGATATTAAAATAGAATTGTTGATTTGTATATACCCATTTAACAAAAATATGCTTACTGTGAATTATAGGTTAAAAGAATATGGGAATAGAAAATGGTTTATTGGATTGTCTTTTAAAGTCCAACCAGAAACCTAGAGGAATGATTGAGCTCAGTTTCATCCTCCTTTTGCAGGACTTCTCTGCTGTAAGATTAAAGGTAATTCCATATAAAGAGTTCATATTTTAGCAACCTTGGTTGTGCTTTGTTGAATCAGATTGATGACATATTTCTTTACCTGATGTGAACAGGTGGCAAATATATTTCAGGGTATCTGCTGTTCCTCCTCCTTTACTTGCCCTTTCTATTGAGTTTTCTCCGGAGAGTCCCCATTGGCTTTTCAAGGTCATTTTCTCTCCTTTCATATTCAGTAATGAATAACTTTACATTTCCTCATTACTTCTTCAACATCAGTCTAGTGTCATCTTGTCCTATAAAAATTTAAATCCATGTAAAGAGATGCAAATGTTATTAAAGTTGTGAAAAAGAAAAAGAAACTGCAAATTATATTCACATTTTGTATTTTTATATTCTTTGAAACTGTCATTTTAATAAAAAAAAATGCTTTACTCTATCATTTTAATTTTAGGCATTGGACATAGTCTATATTATCTAGTTCACCTTTATCTTTCCAACTTTCTTAAGCATTCTAGATCTAACTTAATTGATTTGTTATTACATATCGAGTATTTGGCCCAACAACTACTACATGCCATGTTTATGATGTTGCTGCTCAGCATATTGTCAGTGGTTCCATGGAAGGAATCAATGGTATGTTGTGAGACCTATTCTTAGATAAAATTGGCACTTACATCATTCGATAAAATGCAGTAAACTTGTTTACTTGTTGAATTTTTTACATTTCTTGAAAATGAAAAAGGAATTCATTACTTTTTAATTGTCAATAGTGGGCAAAAAGAAAGTTAAGAAACTAGTTGATAAGGATTGAGATTATTGTTAAGGGTAATTTGAGATTAAATAGTTTGGCTATTTTCATCCAACATGGGCTGATGGATTTATGAACGTGTGATGTATTTATCCATGAGAAGTTGAATCGGACAAGGCTGTTACTGCACATCATAATCACTTTGTAGGAAGGCCATTTTAATCTAGGAAAACTCAGCTTAGATTTCTGGAACGATTTGTTACTTAGGTATCCTATGCTTCCTTGGTAACTATTGTTTCAGGCAAGAAGCTACCTAGCCTTCTCTGAATAGTACTCACAGTTTTGCATCAGAAAAATTGTGGGTTGATATCGAAAGTTATGGCGTTTAATTTGTATTTTCTCAAAACTTGTTCTTTTACCTTACAATGTTAAATTTTGTTCACAGGCACCATATTTGCTTATGGCGTGACAAGCAGTGGGAAGACTCGTACGAAGGAGCAATGAAGACTAAATTCTAGTGAATAATATTTTTTTTAATTGAAAGTGAAAGGGCCTAGACTAAATTCTAGAGAACAATGTCAAACTACATTACATTTAATTTTAATGTTTATAAATTTTAATTTATTTTGTTTAAATTTATGGTTGATGTTAATTAGATAAAGTTGCATTATATTAAATTTGGGTGATATAGAGAAGAAATGAAATATGCAAAATATAAATTAATCTTAGAACAAGAACGTTAATTAGCGGCGTTTGCTCCAAAAACGACACTATAGATCTTACCTTTTGCGGCGTTTTCTCCAAAAACACCGCTATAGATCTCGACCTATTGCGGCGTTTGTTCCAAAAATGTCGTTATAGATCCGACTTTTTGCGGCGTTTGTTCCAAAAACGCTGCTTTAGCTCCGACCTTTTGCAGCATTTTATCCAAAAACGCCGCTATAGAGCAACCTTTTGCGGTGTTTGTTTCAAAAACGCCGCTATAGATCTCGATCTATCGCGACATTTTTTTTCACAATCGCCGCTAACTTTAGCAGCACTGGTATGGCCGGCGCTTCTTGCAACGTTTTTGCTATCGCCGTGAGTTCTTTTAGTGACGCTTAAAAACGCTGCTATAGGACTAAAAAACGCCGTTAAAGAATAATTTTGCTGTAGTGTGTTGTTGTTACTTGTTACATTTTTGGTGAGTTATTGAGGAAATGAGAAAAAGTGAACTAAAAATTGTTGCTGCTACTTTATAATGCTTTGTTTATTGCTCTTCAAATTCGAGAAAAAAATATTTCTTCAGTAAATTTTTAATATTTTTTTTGGATTTTACGAGTCTGATATTGTCGCTTACTATCTACTTCTGGATATATATTTAGCTCAACTATTTTTCACACTTGTTTTTAATTTATAAATGTAGATCTAGAACGTCAACTGTAGTTTTACGGTCAATGAATTGCTTGTCCATTTTTTTACCTCCTCTAAGTGTAAGTTGCTATCCAAATATGTCTTGGTTTACTGTTCGACTTTGCAAATATAAATGATTTTCTGTTCTGTGTTTATCAGATTCTTGTGCTGATGGATTTGTTTATAAATGGACCATTTCTGTTATGTTCTGCTTAGATTTCTTGTTATAAGAATTGTCCGGCTTTCTTGTTATTTTCAAAGATTAGAAAAGAAAACACTGGAAGATTTGAGGTCTTAAGCTAATTAACAATTAGAATACTCTAAATCTATTATTTTTATGTGTGGTTCCAAGACTGTGTTCTGCTTAGCTTTCTGATGTTAGATTTGTTTTAGTAGGTTTTCATTTGTTATTTGCATTGTTTTGAAAACCGGACCGGACCGGCCGGTTCAACCGGAACTGTTGTCTTGTCCGGTCCATTATATCCCGGTTGAACCGGTGCTAGTGAACCGCTTTGAACCGTTCGAACCGGCTTTGAACTGTGAACCGGTTCAAGCTAATTTTTTTTATTTTTTATTTAATTTTTTAAATAATTATGACGTCGTCCGGTTCTTACGACCGGTCTGACGTTCGATCGGTTGAACCAGTAAACCGGTAGCACAGTCGGTTCGCTGACCGGTCCGATTCTGAAAACCGTGGTTATTTGAACTTATATTTGTTTAACTATTAGTGATGGTCTGATTGTATATTATTCTTGAAATGTGGTATTAGACTAGGTTGGGATTTCAATTACAGAGCTATAATTGCTTGTTGACATTATGGTTGACATTATGTATTATTCTGATTGTGTTATCTGCCCTTTCATGCTTTTATTTGATAGCTTAAGTTTTCTTCGACGTAGTTGACACATCTTCGATGGTATTGCAAATGCATTTGCGATTTACCCTTTTTTCCGGCTTGAATGGTATATTGATTAGTATGTGATTTGAGGTACCATTTTCTTAAGAGGGTTTGATCTTTGCTTTGCTTCCTATGTGTAAGAGATCAAACCCGTGTATGTCAAAACTTGATTCTGTACCCATTGAGTTGGTGTTGAGGAGCTAACTTCTAATGATTGCATGGTGTGAATGTAAAAATTAACTTCATACCTTGTTTTGGTGCTTAACTTACGAGCATTAAATTTCTCATTTCTATAATATTTTCGTTGGACATGTTGAATAAAGATTTTTAATGGGTTTCAGTTTTACTTTGAACTATTCTAATTGAACTTGTTTTCCTAGTTGACAATGAATGTGTTTGTATCATCTTAATCCTTAGTTTTTGTGGGGCTTAAACTCTTGTTAAGGTTACAGCTCCTAGATACGTAAGCGAAGTGTCTTGCTCAATAGTTTTATCTCATTTTATCACGTGAAGATAATTTGTTACTTTTAGAAGTCTGAAAACCTTGAAATGTAAATGCTGTCACTTCTAGAAGTATGAATGTCCTAATGTAGCATTTTATATATACTTATAACATCTCTCACATAGCGGCGTTTTCTAGAACAAACATCACTAAAAGACAAGTAATCAGCGGCATTATTCAAAAAAAGCGCTACATATATAGTCAATAGCGGCGTTTGTGGTAAAAAAATGCCACTAGAGATCATAACATACAATGGTGTTTGGGGGAACAAACGCCACTAAAGACAAGGTAATTTGCGACGCTAGACAATAAAAACTGCTATATCACGACAATTAGTAGTAACTATTTTAATATGTTATAGTAATTTTTTTTTGTACTTTACCCTTTATTTATAGAAATTAAAGTTACTTGAATTTTACTTTTATTACAAAATTTTGAATTCTTTACAAATAGGATGTCAATGGGTAGAGTCAAGTTAGATTTTTACATGTTCCAACTTCGATCCTACACAATAAGACTCTAATCAAACTTTGATTTGACCTCGACTTTAGTATTATCAAACCTGACTTGACTCTGAGATTAAAATAAAAACCCGATTTAACCCGATCCAACCCTAAATACATTACTCAAATTAAAAAAAAAAGTAAACTACATGATTGATCACTTTTGTTTAAGTTTTGTATAAATTTTTTCACTGAATTTAAAAAAAAAAATATTTAGTCATTTTCATTTTTATTTAATTGAGATATGGTCAATTATGGTTAACTACAGTTAGACTTTTAACAGATTGTTGGTGTAGCATAACATATATAAAATTAAAAAGCGAAAATACACAAATAGTCACTAATAAAATTTCATTAGTAATAAAATTAAGTTTTTTCTCTTCTTTTTCTTTTTCGTTATTCTTCTTCCTCCTCCTTCTCATTCTTCTTCTCACTATTCTTCTTTCTCCTCCTCTCTTCTTTTTCTTCTTCCTCATTCTTTTTTGTTGGGACAGTCGGTGCACCCCATGACGCAGCGAAAACAAAACTCGACGGTCTCACCAATGATCCACGTACGGAAAAACAGAAATCTGGAGAAAATGATTTGAATACTTACAATGGGTTCCTTGAAAATCAACAAAGGCATCAACGACTAGTGGTGATCATGAACTGTTCGAATCGTAAGCCTCCACGAAAACACGTCTCGACCTCTATTTAGTTCACCCGATTGAGAGAAAAATTTACTTTTCCCAAAATCAATTTTGAGAAAAACGGCTGAAGTAATCGGCTACTAGACCTTACCTCACTTAAATATATCAGTTACCCTAACACATTAGGATTTTTAAGTTATTTTAAATTAAAAAAAATCTTATTTAATTAATTCAAATTAAATATACATTAAAGACTTATAATCTGAATTACAATCTTTAATTTTTATTTAAAATGTTATTTAATTATTCCAAATTAAATATCAATTAAAAGAGTTGTAATCAAAATTACATACTTTTAATGTTTACTTACTATATTTGGGATAATTAAATCATATGTATATCAAATATACATATATTAACTCTAGATATATTTTAGTAACATACAACAAATTGTACATTTTTGCTCATTTCAATCCTAGGGTGTGCCCCTGTAGGTTCTTGTAACGTTAGTAGTAATTATTAGAGCAATTCTAATATTACATACAATGAGTGACATCTAGCAATATATCATTGTCACCTAAGTTACAAGAAATTATGATTCGACATATCATCGTCGTGATTAACTCTTTTATGTATTACATCCTTTTGTCCTTTATATCTAGAATAGGCATAAGTCTTAGAATAGTCACACTTGTATAGCCCATCTATTGTTTCTTGATATCTAGAGTAGACTATAATTAATGAATAATTTGTGATATCACATATCAACTTATTCGAGCATGGCCATGCATTTCTAGTCTCACTCAATCAAGTGGCATGTGATATATTTCTTATTATGTAGGAAGGAAAAATCCTATCTTAATCATACACACCCTACTACATATATTGAGATATATTCAATAACAATCTTTATAGTGCAACCAATTACGGAGCATGTTTAACTGTATCAAAACATACAACAATATATGTTGGGATGACATTGATCTCAAGTTGAGGATCATACATATAGTCATCACCATGAGCAATGTTATGACCGTTACATAATAATCCAAGACATATGCTCATGATGAGTCAATCCAATACATTATTCTCTAACAATATAATCATGTATCAATTCTGACATCTCTATGTCAATGACAACTCGTTGTCATCAATCAATAACATGTTAGTCTTAAGCGTATTATTATTGTACATGCCCATAATAATACTTGACTATGGATCTTTTAATAATGTTATTATATGGACTTTATTATCTTTTAGTTTATGTTAAACACATACATATAACTGAAAATAATAGTGGCAATGCCTTTATTCAATAAAATCGGTAAATAAATGTATTATTACAATCATCATATATTGGTCTTTGGGCATACTCTAACATAAACTTCCGCCGAAGCAAAAAGATCATGGAAGTTTTGTTATACCTTGCTCCATCGGTTTAGCGTAAACCTGATGCCCAAGTCCATATTTTTTGAAACTTGGAATGGGTAATGCTTAACCAACCACTGATATTACAACTGGCAGACCGATCACATGTTCAACCCGAGGGAAAAATGAAGATGTGATAGTTAAAGTGGACAAGTTCGTCTTTCCATCTGATTTCATTATTTTAGACAGTGAGACCGATGAAAACACACAC